AAGGTCATCAAGCGCGAGTTCGAAATCGGCAGCCTGGTATTACGTAGGAACCAGAAGGATTCCCGCATAGGGAAGCTGGCCGCGAACTGGGAATGACCTTATCGCGTCCACGGCACCACTGGTACCGGGGCGTACTACCTCGAGCAATTAGACGGAGAGCCATTACCACGACCCTGGAACGCTGCTAAGCTAAAGCAGTACTACAGTTAAAAACTACCAACACTTGGGACCCTCGACCAACGGCACCCGCGCTCGGTCAACGAGGAAAAACATCCGACTTCGTATAAAGGCTGAGGTACAAGCCCGACATACGGCTAAATCGCACAACATCGCTCGGCAAACGAGGATAATCGATAGTGCCCGACGTGGACAGCTACACCGAGCACCACCATTGTTGTACCCGTAAGGCAGAACACCCAGCTCGCGATGGGCAGTTCACGCCAAGGGCGAATAGTCCCTACCGGGCTTTGCGCCCGACTGAGCAACTTCGCTCCACATGCCCGACAAGTCGTCAAGAATGACGGGCCATCTAAAAGGGTCAAAGGGAAGTCTCTCCCCTCGAGCGCAACACTTAGGTGACTCCGGCCAGCGAAAGAAGGCCGGGCACATATACAAATGGAAGACGGGCAGATTCGCCCGCTAAATCACAGCCACTTACGGGCACTCCCCGGACCCATGACTTGGGCTAAAATTTTATGCAAATATATAAGATTTCAAGTACGGGCAAAACATTCAAATGTAAAACAGCATTCATTCAAATAAAAATGCCCGAAGGCGACAAAGCAAACAATTATAAACCGACCAAGAAGGCCGGCGATGTTCATAACGTACAATCGACGGGCACGTAGGCCCAAAAAATACAAATATCAAAGGCACGCAGGCCCGCTATCCTACAATCAGGCTTCCCCAGAACCATCATTGTCGATGCCTGGAGAGTCGGGCGGGGGCACGATCACGCCATCCACGATTTGATGTGTGTGGCCCGTCCCCTCAGTAACCAAACCAGGGTTTAACAAGGAAAGCTGGCCGACTGCAGAGTCGAACCCCTCCTCCAGAGCACCGACGCAATCTGCCTCGAGTAGCCGGATATGGGCGACCAGCTCCTATCGACTCTTCAAAGCCGCTATCTCTTCCGGCTCGTCCTCGGCAGGAAGCATGGCGACTCTCATGTCCTTGATTTGTTGGGTCAAGCGCCCGATGTCAGTCTCTAGACGATTCCTGTCCGCACGGAGAAACTCTCCCTCCTCGGCCAGCTTCCCCGACCTTTCCTTTTCCAGGACCAGCATCTCCCTCTCAGCATCCAGCAGCACTGTCTGCTCGCGGAACATCTCCTCGGAGCGTTCCAGGGCAGTCTTCAACTTCCGCGAGCTCGAGGTGAGAACCGCTTTCTCCTGCTCAAGTTCTTCAATACGGACAGGATCCCCCCCTTCCTCGGAAAACACCAGGGCCATTTCGGCCATTTTCACCAGCCCGTCCATGCTGGCGGCCAGATGCCTCTTCCGATCCTCCTTACTCATCCTTTTGATAGTCTCAGCCTCGTCGGCAACCACTGACAGAGGGAATCTCTCGAAGAAACCCTCCTCCTTGAAACAAGGGGGAAACCCGAAAGACCTGACGGCGCTGGTGTCCTCGCTGACAGCCGGACCGCTTTCCACCCGGGTCCTCTTTCGCTGTATCAGGTCGGCATTAGGATTGACCTCTTGAACCTCTGGGATCCCGTCCGACGCGGCCCCCGAGCTGGGCGATGAATCCACCCTCACCACCTGAGGACCGCCCGGACTATGTGGCGGGCCCATCCTCGTCGCCTGGGGAGCCTTCACGACCCTCCTGCCTCGCTTCTGGTCGCAAGACAGCTTCAAAAGTCTTTCCCTTTGACCGGCCATCGAGCCTGCACAAAATAAAAGATGGGTTAGTGTCGAGCAAGTTCATAAATAAATGACGAGCAAAGAAATTCAAGCAATAAACGACCTAACAGACGAGCAGCCTGCCTGAACGTCTGACACTCCACGAGTGCCTTAGTATCAATCGGCCGGGACTCAAATGTCGGATAACCCTCTGCATCCAAGACATCTTCCCCTTCCCTCGTGGCCCACCGGGCCGAGTGGAAGCTGTCGACGAACCGACAAAGAGTGGCGTATGCCTTCTCGTCCTTCGAACACATGTCCCCGGCAGCAGTATGGTAGTATCCAGTCCCGTGCTCGTAGTGCCTGAACATCCAATGCACAGGGAACTTGGCCGTACGGGCCATCACGGGATACCCATCGTCGCCTAAAACCGCCTCCCCGTCATCATCGCTTATGGGCGCCTCCACCTCGTACAGGGATCCTAAAGCAGAGGTGGTAACTGGTCGCACGACATACCACTTGTCTTTAAAACCCCTCACGGAGTCCATGTACATTTTGAATAGTCTCCTCGACTGTTTTAAGGAGACCCAACTGTGTTTCCCTCCCCGGGACTGGCGCTGCAGATGAAAAATTCTAAAGAAGAGCGGTATGGTCGCCCCGATCCTCAGAAAGCGACATGTCAGCTCAAACGCCCGGATAAAGGCGAGTGAGTTCGGGTGTAGCTGCGACGGGGCCAAATACCAGATGGGTGAAGACCCCGATCTGAAAGTCACTGAAGGGCAGCCGCAACCCAAGATCTTTGAACGCGATCTCGTACATCGGGAAGCTATACTCTGGGTACACCGAGCAGATCCGGGCACGGGAGGTCGGGCGCATGACAACGAAATTCTTTTGGAAGTCAGGCTGGCCCTGGCCCTCTTCGAGGACAGCATATGGGTTTCGGTCACACCGGCTATATATCGACGCGATTCCTCGGGGCTCGGCGCTCACCCAATCCAGCAAAGGGTCGTCGACAGTATCAATCAAGCTGACCGCCTCATCGGCACTTTGTTCCTCATGTTCGTGGCGTCCAGAGGAGCACGACTCGTCCGCCATGGTTACCTGCAGAGCACGGGAAACCAGTCAATTGGGCACGAAACCATACGCTCGACAAACCACGACGTCTCATGCACGACCACAAAAGTCAGTTACACAGGTAGTCGCCTCCCCGACATCCAAAAAACTCGATGTGTTCTTCTCCAAACCGACTACGCGGCCACTCTCCAACATGTCGACCCAAGGTATGAACATGGCGAGCAACATCACGAGACCTACGGTCAGGACCATGAACATACCGGGAGCGATCATGAATCAGGCGCCCTGGATCATGAAGATCCTGGGCAGCGCTGCTGATTATTACCTAAAACTATGAATTTACCGGCCACAAGCATGTGTTTGTCGGTCCTAAGCATGAATATGTCGAGCTAAGCATGAGTTTACCGGGCTAGTCCCACACGCACAGTCCCTAAAACGTCTACAAACGCTGAAAATCATGCATTACAACAGGAAAATGAAGAAGATAAGTCACTTACTTGAATCAAAAAGTGGATTCGGCTACGGAGGAAAAGAATCTGTAACAGAAGATCGCAGCTATGAAAAATCAAGAAGAACAGCAGCAGTAGGAGCGCGAAGAGTAGAAACGTGTTATGGGGCCCAAGGTTCCTATTTATAGTGATGACGTGGAATACCAAACGTCACCTCGGGCAGCCACGGAGTTTCTCTCCTCGACGCTCTGCTCCCAACGCAATGATGACCCTATCATCATAGGGTGGCGGAACAGTTCCCGAAAGATACCTCGTGTGCTCGACAAACACGCGCCGATGAGGATCCTCCGAGCATCCACCGCGGAAGATGTCTCCAAGCACGGCACGGAGAGGCCATCGAGGGCCTGCATCTCTATCCCGGGCGCGAGACCCCGAAGCGGAAACGACCTAAGTTCAAGCCATGGCTCCTAACAAAGGAACCACGACTTGGGGGGCTCCTGTTCTGGACTGGGCCCCGACAGGCCCAAAAGCATTGCTAAGGCCCAATCCAAATGGACTTGCTGAGGACCACGCCGACCAGAGGGTCACAGTCGTGCCCGACGTGCTCCCTGAGGTCACGTGCTCGACCTCTACACCTCCAGCTCGACATCCTGCTGTCCAGCTCGACATCACCTCGAGCACCCCAACTAGGGCAGACTCAGTCCACTGCGCTCCCAACGAGACTCCGAAAAGACCGCGTCTCCGTCCGCCCGCACTTCACGCAGAACATCCAGGAAGGGGACCACGTGCGGGTCCCCACTACGCACGTAGAACCTGGCAGTTCCTCCATTGGGCCAAACCTGCCCGACCCAATGAAGGAACCTTGGCCCAGCGCTGGGGGCTATAAATACCCTCTGTTTCCAGAGGGTCAGGTACTCATCATTCTACCCATACACTTATTATTGCCTGCTCGTACCTCTACTTACTTCAGCATCAGAGTGCCTTGCAGGTACCCCCACCTCGTTCAAAAAACTTTCAGCTCGGAGCCAGCCGTGACGGTCCATTTCTGATCAGGTCAGATCAATTACTAATGTGACGCATGTCAAATTGTACTACTATTAATTATTTACATTTTTTTTATTAATCATTATTTTATTATTATACTTACAAATTGTTTATATTGTTATTGAAATTAAGTTTCTCATTAGTAATTTTAGTAGTATATTATTTTATTATATTAATAATAAATAAATAAATAAATTAAATTGCTTTCGTCAATGTACCTCTCAAATAGCATTAATATAGATTTAATTTCAATCTTAGAAACAAAGAAACACATCCTACGTTCTTAGAACCGCCTTCCGGCTCCTTACACTTCCAGCCACCACGCCCTAAACGTCACCAGCGCCCACATCTTACAAGGAAGAAACTTCTTCACCAACCAAGTTGTTCCTTTTCATCTCCAGGTACCTTTTCCACAAAATTCCGTTGCCACTTTCCACCAATTTCCCCGTAATCCTTTCATTTTTGTGTCAAATTATTTATTTTCTAACGATTCATGTATCTAATTCTTTCTATATTGTATTAAAACCCCTACGTAATTATGCATAGGAACTAAATTTCAATTTTTTGACCTAATTTCAGCATTTTAAAAATGGTTTCTGGATTAATCAACGCAAACCCTGTCATATACGAAAAGAAGCAGCGTCAACAACGTTCTACTCAATCCCTTCCCGCCGATGAATACGCAGTCGAACCAATCGATCAACTCGAGATTTTCGATATCCTTTTTCTACTTTTATCCAATTTAGCTGCTTAGAAAATTATGCAAAATTGATTTTTTATCTGTTATATTTCCTATTTCCTTAATGATTCTCACATCATATAAGAGATATCAAGGATCCTGAGCATCCGTACTCTTTGGAAGAACTCAAAGTGATAACCGAGGAAGCAGTTGAAGTCGATGATCAGAATAGTTATGTCAGGTACTCGTTGTCACCGGGTGTGAATTGTTCGAATGTTTAATGTGCTTGTTTTGTTGAAATTGTGTTTATACTTGGTTGGGTTGTTGGAATGTTTAATGTGCTTGTTTTGTTGAATGATTTTGATTCAGGGTTACATTTACTCCGACCGTGGAACATTGTAGTATGGCAACGATTATAGGTCTTTGCTTACGGGTTAAGCTCTTGAGAAGTTTGCCTTCGCGTTACAAGGTAATGTTTTTTGCTTTTTTGCTAAGTTTTGTTCAATGATGATGTTATTTAGTTTACTAATAGCTGGATTGTTTTGTTACATAGTAGGATGTGTTTGAATCTAAGTCATGACATTTGTTTCATTTCTGAATTGTTTTAAATAGTTTTAGAGAGATTTATTTTTAGAAGCATGGTCTTGGATAGAACATTATGACCAAAGTTGATTTATGTAATCGACTCCACTTAGTGGGATAAGACTTAGTTGTTGTTATTGATCTTTACAATTCACCGAGAGAGGGAAATAAAAGGTGCAGGAGGATCATAAATCCTCCTAAAAAAGAAGCAGTAACTGCAATAGAATATTCCCTTAAATGAATATCAGTTTATTTTTTATAAATAAGAGACAAATAATATTAATGCACACGAACCCACCAAGCACACGATGCACAAAGAGTAGAGTGTTACTCAGTCACTGCTAATGCACAGGAAAACACCAAAAATTACGACACCAATAACCAACCAAAATAGACACCCGACAACTAAACAACCTATGACAGCATACATAATTTACTTATAGCCCTTATATTTTCATGCTCTCATGAATACTATATTGACCCTTATGCCTTACAAACTGAACTGGGACAGTTCATAAACTAACTTATGCTCTGTTACAAGTTCCCTAACTTAAAATTCATATGGTGTACCACAGTTCACTAAACAGAAAAACTAGCAAACACAGTTTAGTTTTTACTCTAAATTTTTTGAAAACATCTTAATCTCTAAATTCCACACACCCAGTTTGGATCACATCACAATCTCAAAGTTCACTACCGATTTACCAACAATTTAAAATTCTAAATCTTAAATCCCCAAATTTCCTAGAATCCTAAATTTCAATTCCAATCTGAAAACCCAAATTTCCTGCAACTCTGGAGTTCCTGCAAGTGTTCTCCTTAGCTACTCAACTTCAACTTAGTTGCAGATAACTCAGTTTGGTAACCAAATTGGTACGGAAGCCGATTTATTGCATGCCCATTTAGCCTTTTCCTCATCAGTGTTATAAAATAGCGGCGCCATGGCCGCTATGGCGGATATACATGGCAGTTTTGAGGCTTTTCGCAATGTCAACTATTGGCTGATATTGCGGATTTTTTTGCTATAACGGCGCTGCTTTGGCGGGATTCTGGCTCTCCACCATCCGCCATCGCCAATATTGTTCCTCATTCACCTCAAGCTACTTCTCAATAAATGAGGCTTCGGATATTCGTAGCTCCAAAGAAGTGGAGCAAATTAAGAAATAAATAAAAATAGACACGGATTACAGAGAAAAAAGTTATAATATTGCATTTCTCTTATTATTTTTGGTTTCTTGTGGAGAAGGTATGATCGCACGAAAGGCAGGATCCATGGCTTGTGGTGGCAGAAAACCAATTCTTCAGTTTTAACATATTTTGAGTTTGATAATAATTGATAGAAAGAAATAAAATGAAGCCACATGATTTTATTAAACCAAAGCAGTTTGTCTGCTTGTGAAGGTTGATTGGGCATAAGAAACTAGTTTGTTTTGCAAACAGTTTGCCTGCGAACCAGACCACTTCTAATCCTTGCCTTTGTAATCTTTCCTTCATTCAGCCGAATATCAGTCTTTGATAATCAGATAAAAGGCAGATAGACCTTCAAGTAACCCATTAGCTGAAACTCAAAGCATCTTGGAAAACAAGCCTTTCCAAGATGTTAGAAGGAAGAGAGCTCTAACTAAAACTTGGAACCTGGACTGGAAATATGAAGTCATATTTATATAATATCTAGAGTTTAAACTCCGGCTAGTGTCTACCTCTAAGCCAGTCCTATTTTGGCACTAATGCTCTATTAAGTTGAAATGGTGTTACTTTGTGAGATTTACTTTGGTAGGAACATCTTTTTTTCGGAATGATAGGAAGGAACATATTCTGTTTTTTTTGGAATGATAGGAACATATTCTGTTTTTTGGAATGATAGGAACATATTTTATCACTGGTATATTTCTTACTTGAGCAAGTATCTACATTTGCTACCATCTCTATATGGCATCTCAACCATATTCCACAGTTCCACACTTTGTTTTTTTCTAGTCTATTGCATTTTCTATTGTTAAATGTTAACTACTTGTATGATAGCATATACTGTCAATCTATTGCCGCCTCCATATTTTTAATACAGAGATACATTCCACATAATTACAGATTGCATGAAAGATTCAACTAAGGTTTGAAACCCACATGCTGTTAATATATTGATTATGCTTGTCTTGATGATGTTATTTAAATTTTGGTTAGGTGGACATCAGGGTGGCACCTGGATCCCATGCTACCGAAGCTGCGGTTAACAAACAACTAAATGATAAGGAACGTGTAGCTGCTGCACTTGAAAACCCAAACCTTGTGGATATGGTGGATGAATGCCTTGCGCCATCTTATGATTGAAGGATCTTTCTTTCATCCTAATTCTACGAGTCTGTAGGTTCTTTTGCACATGTGCTAGTAGTTGGTAAGCTTTATGTGTATGATCTATTTTTGTTTTTGATTGCTGAGGACATATTTGTTATGCAATTTGTGCCTACTACATGTAATTGTAGTTCAATAGGGTTGTAGAAATACGCAGTTGAAAAATGTAATAGCTGAATGGGATATCAAGGCTTATTGGTTATTAGCTCTAGTGAAGAAAAAGAAAATTCTTTTTAAAAGTTCTCAGCTTGTTTCAGAGTCATAGTGAGCTTCTGTTAAGTTTACACTGCATCAGTTCCTGTCTTCATTCCTATGTTTGTATTTTAGTTTCTCCTAATTGCATTGAAGTTTATTTAAAATAAAATATACTCATTTTACGTAATAAAGTCAAAGGTTTATGTCTGAATTTGTCTGCTGTAATGTTTTTTTTTTTTATATACCATACTTAACCCATCTATCTATGTACAATATCAAATATCATAGATGATGTTCTTCACCGATATATTGAAAACCACCCTCCTTTGGATTTACTTGTTCAGCCTCGAGAAAAAACACTATCAACCTCAATTTCTATCCTTGTTTTACCCTCTCATTTTTAGGAATATCCGTGCGTTTGCACGGGTACCGGTGTGATATGCATATTTTTGTTTTCAAAATATAATAAAAATATAAAAAATAAAAACAAAATTGTTTTACCGAAAAAGTTTATTAATTTTAAAAGAAAGACATAAAATTGTTTTATCGAAAGAGTTTATTAATTTTAAAAGAAAGACATATTTTGATTTATATAATGGTTAACCACTTCCCGATGAATCTTAGAAACTAGATCACTTTCCCTGAGCCACTTAAATCTCTTACTATAGAAAGAGAGCATTGCATCACCTTCCATGAGCCACTTAAATCTCTTCCTTTAAAGAAAGAGAGCATCTTTAGTCCAAATCAAGGACCGGAGATCTGAGAGAGTTTTCTTTCTAGAGTCTATCTCCTCTTAAGATACATCCTCCTGCTCAACTCTCTCATCGAAAGAGCAATACACTAGTTCACCAAAATACACACAATAACAGAAAGCACAAAATACAAAATAGAAGATTTGTGCGAAACCAAACACACCTATTTCAAATTATCCTAATGGAAAACATATATAGCAAATTATGTTCAAAACTAACACCAAGCCCGGCAGGAGAACGATCACAAAAACACCCAACTAGACTCTCGGAACTGCTAACAGCTGCAAATACAACCTGATGCAACATTAACTTAGAGGCTGCAAATTGATTTGACCGAGGAAATTACAATGCCGAAGCTGGAGGAAAAAGGACATTCACGGTCTTTCTCTAATCTCTTATCTAAAGCATTTTGCTCTAACAGACCTCATATTTAAAGAACTGTGTACATTCCAGTCACTTAGGTTGGACTCTAACCCAGAATGTGTGAGAAATATTTATAATTCGGGACAAGGTAGGACTAATACAAGACAAGGTAGGACCAATTACATGTGTGAGAAATATTTATAATTCGGGACAAGGTAGGACTAATACAAGACAAGGTAGGACCAATTACATGTCATTACGAAGTAGCAAATATAGATATGTTTCTTGCTTACATAACATACAATACCATACAAACCATTTCTAATTATGCAATGAAGATATCTTGATTTCATGAAGATGTCATCAATTCATTAACAAAGACTAATCATTTTTTAGTCACAGAGATTCCTGTGCTTACAGTTACTCATTTCTTTTATCTTTTCAGCCTCAAGTTCACAAAAATGAAAACTACCTGTAAAGCATACATAATTTTTTAAACCAATTAAGGACTTTGTATTATTATTGATAAGAATGTGAAAAACAATCAAAGTCTTTGAAGCAAGGGCATACAACATCAATAATAATGATATCAATCAGCTTTGTCCGTTACTGCCTCGTTCGCGCTCAACTCAGAAGATGTATCTTCGGACACTGCACTCTCCTCTGCCAGTTGAACAAATCGCCTACTAGGTGCAATCCTGATTGGCCTTCCCTTCAAATTCTGCAGAATATCAATCTTTCAAATGTCACAAGAAATTGCAGGAAACTTTGTGAGAATGACAATACACACACATACTCATGAATCTGAATTTAAGCAAATAAATAGGTGCAAGAAAGAAACCATGAGTTACTTTTCTGGTTTATTTGAAAGCTAACAACCATAAGACATAAATATTGTCAAGTGTTCCCAAAAGAAGAAACAGTGACATTATTTGTGCAGAAGAATATCATTAAGATCATTAGAATAATTTATAATGATTTTCCTTTTATGACAGAAATTATGAAACATAAATGCAACTGTAAGAGTTTTTAAAGAAACTTTGGATCATTCAGTTTTCACATGCTTGACTTTGGTGGAGGATTGCTTTGGAGTTAGAAACTCATCTGTGGAGAGGTCTTCAAGCGGAATAGCATTAGCAATCCTTTTAGAAAGGGCATTAGCAATCAATTTTCAAATGCTAGACTTATGCTGCATTTTCTTACGTCTGTTAACAGAATGAGGTATGAGTATAGAAAATCAAAACTTATAGTTGGTTGGGACAAACTTGTCGATATTAGCAACAACTGAAGTATGATGTACAAATATACAAATTGAGGTATGTTAGTGAGTGTCCAAAAAAGGTTAAGATCATCTATGCGGACTGGGATATTTCAAAATTTGTGAGCAAGTGAATGGAGAATGAACATTAAATGAATTTACCTCATTAGGATTGAGGTAGTCCTTTACCATTTGAATAACACTATCATCCCTAAATCTGACCATTGATGATTGAGGTAGTACTTTGTCACAAACCTTATAAGCAAAGTCGTTCTCAGATGGTTCACCGCTGTACACAATATAAGTTTCAAAGAGTACTCTAATTTAACGTTGATATATCATTTTCATAATAAATTTAAAAAAATTATAAACTCATGATAATAATACTATATATATTCCTATTCCAGTTCACTTATAAATTAAAAATAAATAAATAAAACTCTTCCTTTTTTTAATTTTAATTCAAAAAATTAAAAATATTTAATAAAATTCATTTTAATAATCACTTAAATTATAACTAATATACTATAATTATTGATCTGACCTGATCAGAAATGGACCGTCACGGCTGGCTCCGAGCAGAAAGTTTTTTTGAACGAGGTGGGGGGGGGGGGGGGTACCTGCAAGACACTCCGATGCTGAAGTAAGTAGGAGTACGAGCAGATAATAGTAAGTTGAGGTTAGAATGATCAATACCTGACCCTCTGGAAACAGAGGGTATTTATAGCCCCCAGCGCTGGGCCAAGGTTCCTTCATTGGGTCGGGCGGATTTGGCCCAATGGAGGAACTGCCAGGTTCTACGTGGGTAGTGGGGACCCACACGTGGTCCCCTTCCTGGATGTTCTGCGTGAAGTGCGGGCGGACGAAGACGCGGTCTTTCCGGAGTATCGTTGGGGGAATGGTGGACTGAGTCTGCCCTAGTTGGGATGCTCGAGGCAACGTCGAGCTGGACAGCAGGGTGTCGAGCTGGATGTCAGGACGTGGAGCTGGACGGCAGGGTGTCGAGCTGGACGTCACTACGTGGAGTTGGACAGCGGGATGTCGAGCTGGACATCAGGATGTCAGGCACGGATGTGACCCCTTTGCTCGGCGTGGTCCTCAGTAAGTCCCTTTGTACTGGGCCTTAGCAATGCTTTTGGGCCTGTCGGGCCCAGTCCAGAACAGGAGCCCCCCAAGTCGTGGTTCCTTTGCGAGGAGCCATGACTTGAACCCAAGTTATTCCCTCGTTGAGGTCTCGTGCCCGGGATAGAGGTGTGGGCCCTCGAGGGGCCTCCTCGTGTCGTGCTCGGAGACGTCCTCGGCGGTGGATGCGCGGAGGATCCTTACCGGGCGCGTCGGTCGAGCACACGAGGAATCTTTCGGGAACTGTGCCGCCACCCTATGGGGGTAGGGTCATTATTGCGTTGGGAGCAGCGCGTCGAGGAGATGGAGTCCGTGGTTAACCGAGGTGACGTTTGGTATTCCACGTCATCACTATAAATAGGAACCTTGGGCCCCATAATACGTTTCTACTCTCTGTGCTCTCTCTGCTGCTGCTCTTCCAGACTTTCTCCAGTTGCGACTTTCCGTCACAGATTCTTCCATTTCGTAGCCAAATCCCGCTCTTTGATCCAAGTAAGTGATCTATCTTCTTCATTTTTCTGTTTAGAATGCATGATTTCTGGCGTTTGTAGATGTTTTAGGACCGTGCGCGTGGGATTAGCCAGGTAAACTCATGCTTAGCCCGACACATTCATGTCTAGGACCGGCAAACGCATGTTTATGGTCGGCGCATTCATAGTTTTAGGTGATAAACTTCAGAGCTGCCCGGGGTCTTCATGATCCAGGGCGCCTGATTCATGAACTCGCCCGGTATGTTCATGGTCTTGGCCGTGGGCTTCATGGTGCGGCTCGCCATGTTCATACCTCGGGTCGACATGCTTGGAGAGTGGCCGCGCAGTTGTTTTGAGGAAGAACACCGGGTTCAGGATGTCGGGGAGGCAACCATTCGTGGAAACGGACTTATGTAGTCGTGTATGGGACGACGTGATTTTGTCGAGCGTAGGACTTCGTGCTCAACTGACTGGTTTCCCGTGCTCTGCAGGTAACCATGGCGGACGAGCCGAGCTCCTCCGGACGCCGCGACCGTGAAGAACAGAGTGCCGACGAGTCGGTCACCCTGATTGATACCGTGACCGACCCTTTGCTGGAATGGGTGGGCGTCGAGCCGCGGGGGATAGCGTCGGTCTACAGTCGGGACGACCGACATCCATACGCTGTCATTGAAGAGGGTCAAGACCAGCCCGGCTTCCAGAGGAACTTCGTAGTCATGCGCCCGTCATCCCGTGCAAGGATTTGCTCGGTTTATCCGAATTACAGCCTCGCGATGTATGAGATCGCGTTCAAAGACCTAGGGCTGCGGCTGCCCTTCA